AGGTGCCCCATTAAGGATTTTCAAGTAAATAGTTAATTAATAACATTTTATTGCACACACACCAATTTTGAAAAGTCAGTTCTATAATGAAAGGTAACATTTTTTTCTCCTCATTCTTCTCATGCCTACAGAGGTAAACATGAGTTAAAAATGTCCCAGGTGCCACATATAAATAACAAACAAAATATCCAGGGATGTTTGAATCTTCATACAGCTTTGTGCTATCTATACAATAATTATTCAGTGTATAATTCCAGACTTAATACATGGTCTTATATATGTCTTTCAGAAACCTTATAAGGAGAGTTATTTGTATTCCCATTTTACAGATGGAAAAGTGAAGTTGAGAGCAGTTTACCCAAGGCTTGGGGATGAGTCCTTGGCAGAGGTTTGCTCCAGATCCAGTGCTTCATTTTGAACCATCAGACTGTAACTCATATTCTTTATGCTAAAAACTGTTTTCTGCTGGGAATTACTTCAGATTTATGAAAATTATGACTCAGCTTTGTAACTAAGGGTAAGTAATTTTTGATGTTACTTTATCTGTTAAAACTTAGCATGTGTTCTCAATTTAATTTCTAGTTTGCCAGTGTAAACAAATTTAGCTGCAAGAAAATGTATATATGAAAACATACATAAAACAAGTTTATTTTGTCATATTTCTGGTAGTTATGTCATAAAATTAATCAGAAGTGTGCATGTGACTTTTAGAGACTGCAAATTATTTATACTTTCAAAATATTTTCAACTTTTAAGATCTGTTGTTAATTCTGTTTCCTTAAATATAATGTCTGGAGTACAGTTGAAAATCCATACCTAGTTTATATATGTGCATTTCTGCAGGTCTGGGAGAAGGAGGGAAGTGACAATAAACCCTTTACTGACCTTAAATTCATTTATTCCACAAGACATCTTTCACAGGATCTCTAGTCCTAATATACCTAGCATATTCCTGCAATCATATACAGGAATATACCGTATCAGAACAGGAAAGTGCTGCTTTGAACCACAGTTTTTAATTCATTTGCTTTTCTAAATTGTGCTAATTACCTTGTGTTTCATTTCTACCAGCCACAAAGTGCTTAATAACACCACCGTTAACCTTTTAACTAATATGTCAGGTTGTAAGAAAGGGGACATTTTAGAAAACAGAAGTTTAAAATTATGACCCTTTTGTTCTTCCTCAGCAGACATAATTATTCATAGGTAATTTTAGGATGATGATGTTAGCACAGCAGATGGTATCTATTCATATTACTGACTCTCACACTTCTTGGGGGTTTGCTAATAGGATAGTTCTCATTTTAAAGCTGGAGGTTTTTCATCTACTTTCCTCTCTGCCTAAGCTAAAAAGAATAGTATCAGATTCTGAAATGTGACAAATAATCTGTCTACTTGACTAGTTGTTTTGGCACCACAGAAGACTGGGTGGGGTACTGGGTTTTTTTTTCTTTCCACATATAATAAATACCCATGTAGTAAAAGTTATTTAGCCAGCTAAGACAACTTGTGTGTAAATTTCTCCACACCTACTTTTAGAAAAGGTTATTTAGCAAGCTTATCTTATATTGTAAATTACTCTCCCTGTAAGCCTTTTATCTGTATTCCTACTTGTAACAATTAAAGAGGACAGCATGAACTCCCTAATTTAACACCTGCTAAGCAGAGGAGAGCCATGGCTGCACACTAGAAACTGTGTTTCCTACAAAAAGAGTCACTTACCTGGGATCCCAAGTCAGTGGTTATGACCAAGTCAGCGATAAGATGTACTACTAAGCCATCTCCATGTGTTTAAATTCTCTGTGTCTCAAGAGAAGTATAAAAAGGTGGTAGAAGTGCTCACACAGGTTGAACCTCAGAGTAGACAAAAGTCCTAAAAAGAATAGGGGCTGTGCAACTCCTGGGGTCTGCCCTCTACCACTTCTGGGGTTTCTGGTAAACCAAAGAAATGGGAATGGGCATATATTTCTCTAACACTTTTAATATTCAATTAAATCCTTTTTTCCCATTTCACCTGGTCTCAGTTTACTATCTGTGAGGTCTGAAGAACCTGCTGTCTCCCAGCTGACCACCATATAGCAATACATCGGTATAACTTGTCACCATTGCAGTGTAGATAGGTGTCCATGTCTCATGATCAGGTATGCAGAGTTTACGCACTATAAATGCACATGTCACTGAAATATTAGCCATACAAATCTGCATTCAAGAACCTTGAAACAGATGTTTATACCCAAATCCTACAAAACGGTTTCCCTGCCAAGGAAAGAATTACTTGAAAATGAGTTCATTAAATCTCTGCCTACATTATTCTCTTCTTGCTTTTTCTCCAATCATTTTCACAGGATTTGACTAAGACAATTATATAGTTTAGTCTCATAGTTATTATTTAAATGTCTAGGTCATCTCACTGACTACAAAATACTGTTTACATTGTTTACTGTTTTCTTTATTTTTTGCCTCCCCCTTTTTCTTCACATGTGGCTTTAAGGCTACTAAATGGATAAAAATATTTTTGATAGATTAATTAATATATAATGGATGATTATATAGTTCCTTAAAAAAAAAAAGACAGCAACCATTTGTGGACATTCCAATTTTTGGAGGAGGGCTGATTCATACCTGTATGTAAATTAGTTAAATTGTGTCTTGTCCCTTGATTATTCAGCATGTTGGCAGTTTACAAGCTACCTCACTTAAAAAATGTTTGACGAACAAACTTAGGTTTATTATTTTAGTCTGTATTGATTGATTCATACATGCAAAATAAATAGCTATCAAATTATGTTTTAATAAAATGCATGTGTGTGTTTCACTCTGCACTCACTGCTTCTAAGTTCTAGCCCTCACTTAAAATCAGTTCATGTATAGAGACTTGGTGGTATTGAATTAGCTTTGATGTACAGGTAGTCCTCATTTAGCAACCACAGTTGGGATTGGCAACTTGGTTGTTAAGTGAAGTGGTTGCTAAGTGAAACTGCCACTGTGCTTATGATCTCACTTCAGCTTTCCTTTGCTTTACAGACCTGTGAAGCTCATAAATGTGAGGATTGGTCATAAAGCTACTTTTTCATCACTGTTGTAACTGCGAATGGTCACTAAACGAGTCAGTTGCTAAATGATGACTACCTGTACTGCAGATGTTTTCAAAATGGATTGAGCACTTGTCCCATTATTACTTTTGTGTCTTTGAGTTATTGCTTAATTACATCCGTAGTACTTGAAACATACCGTAACACTTTTCTTTACAATTCTTCATCTCTTAAATTTTCTAAGGTTATATTTTGTGAACAAAATATTTGAATTATTTTCATTCTGTTTAAATGTTGTTCCTGGATTTTCCTTTAGGCAGGATCTGGATTTTTCTTGAGAGAAGGCTTGAGCTGTTTTCCATTCTATTGTGTTAAAGTAAAAACACTGACAAACAAACAAAAAACCCTTGACAGTTTGTGTTTTGTGCTTCTGATTTATAGCTATGTTGGAATCCATAATCACTTTTTTAAAAAATGTTGAGGGAGAAGCAATTAAAATTATAGTGAGCTAAAAGTTGACCAGAGAGGGCACTGATTTACACATATGTCTGGGTTGTAAATTATCAACCCAGTGGCACTAAGCAAAACAAATTTTTATAATATTAGTTCCAAATAAACCTGAATGTTGTTGTATTGATTTATTTATGATTTCTTTGTTTAATTTTATTTCCTGTCCTCTGTATCCTTACAGTAATCTATTTACAATGTTATATTTTTAGTCGTTTTTTAAAACTCAGCTATTTTTAAATAATTCATATACTTGTATGGGCTGTATACATTTTGTTGTAAATTGACTACATAAATAGGACAGCAGAAAAATTAGCTTTCTGTGTTGTGCATGGGTGATATTGATTACGCGCCAATCTAGAATGCCTGACTGAGGGAGAAGGAAGGATAGATTCATTTTTGTTATGTTTTCACCAGGAAGCTTTAAAAATATATCAGTGCACATATCAAGTTAATATATTCTCATTGTTGGGTACATTTTTTAAAATTGATATTGTGGTATTTGTATTTTTTATTGATTTGCTAATTATAATTAGAGAGTTTATCTGAATATTATTTTCTGCTGCTTTGAACATAGCTTTTAGTGGAAATTGGGATATAGTAATAATTGTGTTTATACCCAAAAATGTTGCAAAATGCTTCATTTGTCCATCTTCTTGTAAACTTGTCAGTATTGTATAACCTACCTTTGTTAGCTTGAACACAGCTATCTTGACATGGCATGGGCCGATGACTTCTAATCTTTCTATCTCCAATAGGCTTTTTATGGATTTGGGGATTAAAAGGGGTTAAAGAGGGAGGGGAAGGTGTAAGATGGCAACTATTCCATAGAAAGAAGTGAGGAAGTCATAATTCTATTCTATTCTATTCTGTTTTCTCTTTCTTTCTTTCTTTCTTTCTTTCTTTCTTTCTTTCTTTCTTTCTTTCTTTCTTTCTTTCTTTCTTTCTCTTTTACTTCTTTTCTTTTTTCTTATTTTCTATCTTCTCTTTCTCTTATTTTTCCTTTAATGTTTTGTAGTTTCATTGCATTCAAAAATTCTAGTACTGAATAAAACAATAGGCTTCTTTAGTGGGAAAATTACATCAGTTTAAAAAGTTAAAATCACTGTTAA